GTTTTTTTAATCAAAATGGAGAATTTTGGCAAAAGTAGGCAGAAGAGCCCACACTTTGCTGTGCCTTATCTCACAGTGTAAAGTATTTACTTTCTACCAGTAAGCTCAGTGCATCCTCAACAGAGAGTAGAAAGTAAGTTAAATTAGGCTTGACCTGGAGAAACATGCAGAAATGAATATGAATGAAGCTAACACAGTGTTCATGAATCATGTGTGTGTGTGTGTGTGTGTGTGTTCATATTCTTTACTCTGAGGGGCCCTTGTCTTCCCACCCCCAGATTAGGTTTCCAGAAAATACAATTTAAACCCTCCCCCATGCCTTAGTGCCTCCTTTCTGGCAGAGAAAACACTACCAAGTAAAAGTAAAGTACTCATTCCACTATCTGCGGTTTGTTGGGTAAGAGCCCTTGAATGAAAGCTACAGTCCCTGAATTCTGTTTTAAAAGAAAGAGAAGATAATCCACTTCACAAATTACAGTGAATACACATACAACAGTCTACGTATACTTGTATGTGCATTGAGCATTTCACATGTTACAGTCACTGCATGCACAGCCAAATGTGTGATACAAACCCCAAATTTATCCATGTGCTGATCCCCAGTTTCATTTGAAAAGTAAACACATGTTAGCTGCTTCTTGCAAACAGATGAAGGCATATATAGGCAGGATGTAAAAGGGCTCACTGTAACATGTGAATTGGACTACAGTTGGAGCCAAAAATGTGTTGTGTCCTTCATTGTCTCCAGAACAAGGATGGCATTTTCTGTCTGGTTTAAATTTGAGAGGAAGCTTCTAGACATTGGTATGGTCAGCATATTACAGATGGGAATGTGTTTTGTGATGAAACCAATGGAAATGACTTTCACATTGAGGAGTAACCCTGATACTGTGATATAACAAAGAAAGTAAACAAATTTGGTCGGACCAACTATTTTGTCTACTTCCCTACTTGTAACTTGAGAGTAGAAGATATAGACCTAAAACTGCATAGTGTATTAAGATTGAGATTTGTACTTCACCTCACAGCTGAAGCTAGGGTTGCCAATAGGATTGTCAGGTCCCCCACTGGTAGGGGAGACTTACCAGTGGTGGGGGAGGCTCAAGCCAGCCGCACAGTGATGTTACCACTGATGCAGTGACATCACTTCCAGCGTGCACTGGAATCAATGTCTATGGGTTGCTGGTGGCACCGAGGATGCTCTGGAGTTTGAGGAATACTCTATAGTAAACTCTTTTTTTACCATAGAGTTTTGCCCAAATACTGGAGCATCCCCCAGCAATGCACAGACGTCAGCAGTGATGTTGCTGCATCAGAACAAAGGTGCCGTCTGTCTCCATTTTTTTGGCCATTTCCCCCACCCCAGCCAGCTGATTGGTGGTGGGCAGCTGGGGGTGGGGGATCTCCTGTCCCCAGAATAGGGCTGGCACCCCTAGTTGCCAACCTCCCAGTTGGGTCTGGACTTCTCCTGGAATTAGAAGAAGAAGAAGGGAAGAGATTGGATTTATACCTCACCCTTCACTCAGAGTCTCAGAGCAGCTTACAAACTCCTTTTCCTTCCCCTCCCCACAACAGACACCCTGTGAGGTAGGTTGGGCTGAGAGAGCTCTTTCAAGAACTGCTCTTTCCAGAACAGCTCTGACAGAACTATGGCTTGCCCAAGGTCATCCAGCAGCTGCATGTGGAGGAGTGGGGAATCAAACCCAGTTCTCTCAGATTAGAGTCCACACACTTAACCATGACACCAAACCACTACAGATGACTACACAGATCAGACTCCACAGAATGCTCTGGCCTGGATGGCCCAGGCTAGCTTGATCTCATCAGATCTTGGAAACGAAGCAGGGTCAGCCCTGGTTAGTACTAGGACAGGAGACCACCAAGGAAGTCCAGAGTTGCTGTGCAGGGGCAGGCAGTGGGAAACCACCTCTGAACATCTCTTGCCTTGAAAACCCTATGGGATCATCATAAGTCAGCCATGACTTGATGGCACTTTCCTCCACCACCACCACACAGATCAGTTCCCTTGAGAAAATGGCAGCTTTGGAGGGTGGACTCAATGGTATAACACCCTTTCCAGACTCCACCCTCCTCAGGCACCACAACCCCAAATCTCCAGGAATTTTCCAAGCCAGAGCTGGGAACCCTCACTGACGCTCTAAATGACTATACTGATCCAGCTTTCATGACTTCTCAAGGTAATAGTTGTTTTAAATTGTAATACCACCAACCTGAACTGTGATCACAAAAGTGACTTTACTAGTAAAGGTAAAAGTTCCCTTGCTCGAAAGTAACACCCAACGATAAGATTTAAAGAAAATGAACTTGCACCAAACTATGTATAAGGATCTAAAAGGCAAAAAGGCCAGCTGTAGGAGTAAATTCTAGCAAAAGGATTAAATGTTCGCCAAGAGCTGAAGAAGGGCATAAAGGAATTTAATTATTTGTTAAAGTCTTTCGAGGAAAAGAGGCACTTGGGAGAAAAGAATTCCATTAGCAAAAGAAACAGAGATTAAATTACTGGTGATTCAGCACTGAGCTGAAAGGAAACTGAGCTAACAGCAGGAAAAAATGCTGGGCATGATGAGTATCATCCTTTTTCTTATACAGAATAAAAACCCCATTCTTTGTGTAATTTTATTTAGTTGAGGGCTGTGGCAGGAAGGTGGCCTAAGAGACATATTGGTCTAGAATAAACAAGGGCCTCATCACTGGTATCAAATCATTTTTTTCTTTCCTCTGTCAATCAAGTGTTAATGGTGTCCTTTTTCAATAGCGTTTTATTTTGCAATACAAGTCAAAATTATGTCATTAATGCTCCTGTTGTCGTCATTCTTGCTATATGTAGATGCAAGAGTCTGAAATAGGGTTGCCACCTCTGGGTTGGGAAATACCTGAAAGATTTTCAGAGTGGTGCTTGGGGGGGCAGGGTTTTGGGGAGGGGAGGGACCTCAGCAGGGTATGTTGCCACAGAGTCCACCTTCCAGAGCAGCCATTTTCTCCAGGGGAACTGATCTTGTTCGCTTAGAGATCAAGTGTAATAGTGGGAGGTCTCCAGGTGCCACCTGGAGGTTGGCAACCCTAGTCCAAAACCAACCGCCAGTAAAGACCAAAGGGGCACAGGACTGGATCAGAGTAGGAACACGAGACTTTTGCTATGACATGTGACTTATCTGTTCTTGGATATACAGTTTGAGTCCCTGGGGTCCTTATTACTATTAACCCCTTTTGCCATTGCTACCACAGGAAAAAAGAACATAAATATCCATTATTGTAGTGCCCATACTCAGAACGTGGCTGTTGGCAGCACAGAGAAAATAACCCTTTTTGTTTGTTTTTTGGCAAGTTAGTGCCTGTGAACATCTTGCTGTGTGTAAAAAGTCACTTAAGCAGACTGCAAGCAGCACTGGCCCTTTTTATGCCTGAAAGAAAGATGAAAATCAAAATATGAAGATGTAGAAACAATTTTATAACAGCATGTCTGCCTCATATATCTTAGCAGAAGTACCCTATTCCTTCATTCTCCACAAAATAGAAATATCCAGTTATCATCATGATAATTATATAAGATAATGCATATCTGCATTGAATATGAGCAGATGAAATAAATTATCATCAGAGAAACCAGAAATAATTTCTGAATTTAAAAGTATTTCATCCTTTTATTTCTTGTCTTTTGTTACTGTGTTGCACATACTATTTATATCAGCAGAGATCTCTGAGCAGTAAAGGATTACAGAGACTAAAATCTTGTTGTAAAAAGTTGATTGCTTTACCAGAGAAAGAAGCAGAGTATTAGCTGGCAAGATGAGCACAATAAACACTTTTAATTTTCAGCAGATTTTCCACTGAAATGGCTCAAATATAAAACTTCCTTTAAGGTCTTCACCTCAAGAGTGGGTTTTTTTGAAATTGTAATGAGTAATGGATGTACACCTCCCATGGATGTACACATGCAAATCCTTTATGTGAAAAAAGGACTCACAGTTCAAGAATCTACCAGCAAATCAAGAAAACTGACAATTTATACTCCTTAATGTCCTTGGTTTTTATCAAGTGATATCTAAATGACACACATTTGAGTAATCTGAAATCAGTAAATGCATTCCTTTTGTATGTAGTCTAGTTCTGCTTTCCATGTCTGATTTCAGAGTGGTGTGTTAGTCTGTTGCAGACAAAGACGAGAAGCAGTCTTCTGGCAAATTCAAGCCTAAGCACTGAACCCAAATGCCAGTGAGCAGAGTTCTACTTCTGTAGTGGTTTTTTCCTGTTTCTTCCTGTTCATTATGCTCCTCCAAGTGCTTTTCCTGGGAGTGGAGGGGCTCTCAGGTGCACTGTGGGGTGTGATGCATCTGCAGTGGAAATCAGTTCAAATTGCTCTCCGATTACATGAGCAGAAATACCTTTCCACTCATAAGAGCAACCTTTGGATCCAACTGTAACAAATGCATTACATTTTCATGGGATTAAGAAGTCCACTTCATCAGATATTATGAAGTATGTCTATATGATCTTTCTCCCCCATGGAAACCCCAAGTGGTTTGGACTGTTTTCCTCTCCTCCATTTTATCCTCACAACAACCCTGTGAGGTAGCTTAGATGAGAATGTGTCACTAGCCCAAGGTCACCCCCAGCAAGCTTCCATGGCACAGTCGGGATTCAAGCCTTTTCCTCCCAGATTCTACTCTGACACTCTTAACTATTATAATATACACACAGAGGTATGGAGGGAAATGTAAGCAATGAGATCATGAAATGGACAGTGATAAGCACATTTGTAAGGTACAACATTCTTGTTTACCTTTTCATGTCTACTGCCATATATTCATATATCAATAGCTAAACCTGTCTGAAACATCCAAGAGTACCCAACTATAAACTGATTTACAGGACTGTCAGCCTCTTCAGATGGATAGAGTTCCATAGACTTATGTGACTGCAGTTATAAATGGTGCAAAATAGTAAATTATTCTTCTCTGTGTTCTTTTCTTCCTCCCCAGCAAAATTTGGAAAGTAATCTCACCAACCTTATCAAGAGAAATACCGAACTGGAAACACTTCTGGCTAAATTAATTCAAACTTGCCAACATGTCGAGGTAAGCCATCTCTCCCCCCTGCCCCTCCCCCCCCCCCCCCCGGGAGTATCGCGGGTCCCACATTTCCGTAGATGAGCAAAAAATCAGTGGTAGAGTACATGCTCAGTATGTTGGAGGTCCCAAATTCAATCAGTCACCAACATCTGCAGTTAAGGGTGATGAGACCTCATTCGGAGAACTTCTGCCAGTCATAGTAGTAGACATTCTGCACTGGATGAGCCAGTGTAGGACTATAAGCTTTCAGGTAGGACTTGTAGTTCTTCAGGAATTGCAACTCATCAACAGACTACAGTTCCTCAGGAGACAATGGCAGCTTTGAAGGGTGAATTCGGTGGCATCACATCCTTGCTGGGTTTCCTTCCCTCTCATTCTGCACCCTCCCCAAGCATCACCCAAAATCTCCAGGAACTTTCCAATCCAGAGTTAGCAACCCCATAATATGTGGAACTGCTACACATGCATTAATTGACTTCTGCAGCTCTGTCTGGATCCAGCGGGAATTTAAATCCTCTTTGCAGAGCGATTGGACAAATCTAACAGTACTCACGTAGCATTTCTAAATTAACAGGCCCATACATTCACTTCCAAAAGTTTATCAGTCTGGTATATATTGTATAACACAAAGCAAAGTTTGTCACAAAGTGTACCCTTTATACATTCAAGAACCTGTCAGTTTTTGATGGTATATTATTTTCAAGTGTGTTTGTACAATTGAAGAGGACAAGAGACATGCTTAGGACTTAATTTTCTTACATAATACAGAGCACCATGCATTCATAAAACATGTATGTTGCACATTGGACGCCACTTCTAGGTAGAAGAAGTTAATGTTTATAATATTTTTAAAAAATTGTTATTGCTTCTGTTTAAATATTTTCAAATAATATGATACTAGGAAAAGACCTGATTTCATTTTCTAATGCACAACCTGTGATAGTTTAAATATCATGTCAAATATGTTTCAAATGTGACAGATTCTACTTTGGGGAAGGGGGATGTCCACTATAATAACAAAACGCTGGCATGAACAATGAACTATTTTCATTGTTCACTCTGCCTGGTCCTCACGCCTATTATTTGGCCAAAAGGGAGGTCTGAAGGTCTTGGGAGGGTGCTCTGGGCCTTCTCAAGGGAGCCTGGAACCAGAGTGGTGGCAGCGTCAGGTGACACTCCACCTGAGCTGTGACATGGTAGCTGTAGCGGCGGGATGAACTAATTTTGGACCCTGGTGAGGCAGAATGCCATTTGGCCTTGGCAGAGGAAAAATATTTTTTTTGCTTTTGGGCTTAAGGAAGACCCATTGTTTGAAGGTGCTTGCAAGACCAAGTAAGGGTCTGGTAAGGTGCGGTGAAAAGGTTTTCTTTATGTTCTAGCTGTCGGGTCAACTGGATAGTGAGGCAGAGTTAGATAGAGCATGTTCCTCCGATCTGGGAAAGAAAAATCAGAGAACACACCTGTTGCCAGATGCAAGACCCGAATAGAGGCTGCAGGTCTCATGTCAGTGGAGGACACATCAGAGAAAGCAATGGCATCCCTGAGTGAAGAGACCTTACGTCTCCAGCTGCAACTTAAGCAGGCCGAGACTGAGTTAGAGAAGGCAAGGCTGCAGAAAGAGAAACAGGAGACTGCAGCTAGGATGGAGATGGAAAGAGAAAAGCTGCAGAAAGAGGAGAAAGAGACTGCAGCTAGAATGCAGAGGGAGGAGAAAGAGACTGCAGCTAGAATACAGAGAGAGGAGAAAGAGATTGCAGCTAAGATGGAGCTAGAAAGGGAGAAAATGAGGCTGGCACATGAACTTCTGGTGGCTAAGCTAGAAAAGGGCCAACCTCCTACAGATGCCACGGTGAGAGAGGACCGTCGAAAGTACCCCTGGTTCAAGGAAGGGGAAGACATTGAGGCCTTCCTGCAGAATTTTGAACAAGTTTGTATCGACTACAAGGTCCCCTCAGAGCTGTACATGGAAAAGCTGAGACCACAGTTGAGTGGTGTCCTAGCTTCAGTGTCTGGGCAGATGGATGGTGAAGAGAACAGACTACAAGCTGTTCAAACAGAGAATGCGGGAAATGGATTCCTCGGTGCCACCGCATGGAAGTCACTGTGGACGGTCGTAGTGTTGCAGCCTGGCAAGACACCAGCTCCCTGTTGTCCACCGTCCACCACTCTCTTGTGGATCCTAAGTACCTCATCCCGGGTGAAGAAAGATGGGTGCAGTGCCTGCAGGATGCCAAAGGGATTGCCCTCCCGGTGGCCAGGATACCTATTGAATATGAAGGCTGGACTGGATCGTGAAGGTAGCTGTGCATGATTATACCCCAGTAGCCATGTTTGTGGGGGAAGAAAGGTGGCCAATCCAGAGGAAGATGTCTACCTGCAGTTCTTAAAGGACTTTGAAGCTGTTCCTGAAGAACCCAGCCGGAAAACCGATGTCTACATAGGGGTGTTAACCCGTTGTCGGTCTGAGAAGCAGCAGCAAGGTGAGCACACCCCAGCAACTTCTCCAGACCCTGTTGTAGAGCCAATGGTGGTAGAGCCTCCTCCAGTGACTCTGACTGCCTTCCAAAAAAATCAAGAGGAGGACGCCAGCATGGAAGAAGTCCGTATCAACTTTGATTCCATGATCCCATCTAGTTTGGATGACTTTCCACACAACTATGCTGCTCAAACCAGTGAAAAACAGCATCAGCAACTAGAACTTAACACTACTGGGAAAACTGAAGAGATGGCCTTTCCAAAGCCCTTTGAAAGTAGTTCCACAGCTGGAGCAGAAAAGCCAAGAGCTGTGAAGCCGCCTGAAGAGGAAGCGGAGAACAGTAGGCTGACTTTCGTAAATGACCATCAGAGTGGAGGAAAAGAGAGCCAGTTGTTCCTCAAGACTGAGTTTGCAGTGCCAGTACAAAATTCCATTAGTGTTAATCACACAAGTCAACCTGACACCAGCAGGAGAAGAGAATTTGATGAAGACTCTCTGGAGAGCTTTAGTAGCATGCCAGATCCAGTGGATCCTACTGCTGTGACAAAAACATTCAAACTAGAAACCGGCAGTGATCTTTCTGTGTTTGAAGCTTTGAAAAACACCATTTATTCTGAAGTAGCTACATTGATATCTCAAAACAAAGCTCACCCTCATGTTCTAATTGAGCTTTTTCATGAACTTCATGGGCTAAATTCAGACTATTTGAGACAAAGAGCACTGTATAGGTTACAGGGGCCTGGGTCACACGGGCAGGAAAATGCAGGGGGGAGCTAGGGTTGCCAAGTCTGGGTTGGAAAATACCTGGAGACTTTGGGGGTGGAGCCAGGAGAGGGCGTGGTTTGGGGAGGGGAGGGGCCTCAGCATAGTACAATGCAGTGGAGTCCACCCTTCAAAGCAGCCATTTTCTCCAGGGGAGCTGATCTCTGTCGGCTGGGGATCAGTGGTAAAAGCGGGAGATCCCTAGGCCCCACCTGGAGGCTGGCAACCCTAGGGGGAGCATGGCTGTTTGCCCGGGGCAAAATAACGTGCGGTTGCGCCAGCAGACGTACCGTGGAGGTCCCATGGAGGTCCCGTGGTAGGGGGGAGGTGCCGAGCACACCACAATCCTGCGCCGCAGCACGGCAAATGGGTGTTTTTTTCGGACACCAAAGTGTGCGCATGCCCCATTGGGTGTTTGTGCGCATCCCATGGTCAGTTGAAAAAACCCCACCTTTATACGAGGGGGCATGGGCGGGCGCTGGAACTACCACCGGAAATACGATCAGACGCCCGCCCTTGCCCCGCGGTTACCGGAAACTAGTACCTCCGAGGTACTAGTTTTTAACTGCGCATCTTTGGCGGGAAGCCTCAGGTTTGCCATGGGAACTGTAAGCTTCCCAGATGTGGCGGTGAGATCGCGCCCGGAAAATCCGCCTATCTTCCGTCCCTCTAGCGTGCCTAAAGCTCTGTGTGACCGCAGCCAGGATATAGTAGCCAGGCATCCATCTGAAGCCAACACAAAAGCAGAATGTCCAAAACCCCTGAACTCAAAGGCGTGGTTAAGATCCAATTTAGAACTTACTTCCAGTGAAAGACTTGCTACTACTGATGATGAGACATTAGAGAAGAGCTTTGACCCTGGAGGACCTGCAATGCATTAACCTGACGTTGTGTTCTCTTTAATGTTGATCAGAATACTGTTTTACGGTTTTCTTATTGTTTTTATATGTTAATGTTGAGTGAGTTGAAATGGCAAGCCACAGTCCAAATCCCGTGTGCAGACCGCATCAATGGGGATCCGGGGCTGGACCTCATGATTTGGTCTGGTGGGGAGGTGTCATGATCTAGGCTTTGCCACCAAAGGCCTAGCAGGCCCAGGGAACCTATGTAGCAGTAGGGGAGGCTGGGCCTACAGATCCCAGAAGGCCTTGGGAAGTTTTGGTGCTGATTTTGACCAATAAGGAAGAAGAGGGCTGGGGAATAAGAGAACTGGTACAAGGGGAAAAGATGTTCTTTTTCCCAGAGGGCAGAGCCAGAAGGAAGGCTGCTGCAGGGAAGAGACCCTCATCCTGAGGGAAGGGTGAGTAGTCTAGTGCCACTTGGAATAGGGAGCTAGGGACAGTATATATTTAGACGTGTTAGGGCATTTGATTTCTTTTCACCCACTTACTGTTATTATTCTGCACCTTGTTGTTTGACCTCTTATAAAATAAACTATTTTCATTGTTCATTCTGCCTGGTCCTCACGCCTATTATTCGGCCAAAAGGGAGGTCATAAGGTCTTGGGAGGGTGCTCTGGGCCTTCTCAAGGGAGCCTGGAACTAGAGTGGTGGCAGCATCAGGTGACACCCCACCTGAGCCGTGACAGTGCCCATGGACTGGATCCCTCTTTCTAATTTCTGTTGGAACTATAAGATTTTTCTTCTCCTTGGCTTATTTTTTTAATAACCTATATATAAATGATCTTCCTTTTTAGTTATATCTCAAACCTGGCAAATCTTCTGTTTAAAGATACTGCTGCCATACTGTAAGCAGATGTGTTGCTGCC